ATAACATAAAATGGCGGAAAACCAAGTCTTCTCGATAGAGAATGAGAACGAGGCCGTTTCAATTAATCTAGTGGTTAAAGGGAGATAAGTACATTTATCAATGGACAGTATTACTTTATACCTAGCTACAACAAGAACTCTTTTTTTTGTCCCATCCAACAACTAGACAGCTGTCCTTGTCACTGACATGGGGGAACCACGCTGGAAAATCTGGATGAACTTTCTCGGCCAATGCGGGGATCAAACACCCAACCTCCAGGCTAACGAGCCAGTGCCTTATCCACTTAGCCACCATGACACCCTCTGGGACAAATGTGTACAGTTCAGCTGATTTCCATAATCCACTTGCGCATGGTTTATTGGGGTTTTTTTTGGCAATGGCAATGGAAGGAAATTTATGGATGAAGTACCTTGAGAAAAACCCACGAGTTCAGAAATGCGATCCTCGTTCATGTTTTTTGGCAGCAGGAGGAAACAACCGTAGGCCTAGTACCCAGCGAAAACCCAAAGGGTTGCAGGCAACCCTCAATCTTGTCAAGTACCATACCATACCATGAAGCAAGGAATCGAATCCACCATGACTCAATTATAGACTGTATGATCTAAAGTTTAGACATTAATTAATTTGTTCACCCAATGCCCGGCCACAGGCTATTTCATACTCTGCGATTAAATGAACAACGAAAAAATAAAGTTGGCAGAGGATAATCCAAGGATAATAGATTTTTACAGCTAGGAGTACTATGATAGTTTTCTTCCGATTAAAATATTTTCAGTGGGTTTAGAAGCAACCTTTTGATAGATGAATTAGTTTCAATGTTTTTAGTCCAAATGTATCATCAAATCGAAGAGTTTGTTTGAGGGAAGGTATCTTTAACAATAATATCTTTAGTTAGGTTGAGACTGAAGTGTGATGTGCTGTTACAGGGATGTTGGGCTCAGTGAAATTAAAGTCGTTTATTTTATCTATATAAGTAAAATCATCAAAATTGTATGTGTGTATGTATGTTCGCCCAACACGCTTCGTCGCCGTGCTTCACCCCCACATGTGGTATCAAATTAACCAGCATGATCCCATGAATGTTTTTTAGGCCATCGAATTTGGGTTCCAGAGGAAGCCAGGTATCCTGCTAGTTATCACTATCATGTATTCATTTACATCCCCTATATATAATGACATGTTATGCTACACCCCACCCTGTTATTCATCAGATTCTATAAAGTGATCAAAGTAAAAGTAATAGTTCAAGAAGTAATTGATCGATTTTGTCATTGCTTTAGTCAGTCGACCAAGATGTCTTATTTCAAGCAGATCATATAGCTTTTGACAAGGAGAGGTGTTACAGTGCTTAGTAAGACAATGGCTCACAAACCAGGAAATACGGGTTCAATTCCTGTGTTAGCCAAGAATATTCACCAGCATGCAGAACAGGGGGCCTGGCATGAAACAGTGTCTAGTCATTTGTATGGAACTGTGTAGGATACATGTTACCTGTTGTATAAGCATGAAAGTAAACCCATTCCAAAATATTGTATTTCCTTTCATATCTTCCTCCATAACTTCTCGAAAGGTCGACACTCAAATATCTTGTAGTGAAAGTTGCAACCTATCAAAATACTTGAACACAGCATTGTCAGGCAATGGATATATGCCCACAGCAACATTCTAAAGGGTGGCTGTTAAGTTTTTCAGGTCAAGAACAACAAATAAGAATAAAACTGATGGTCAATTCCTCTTTATGACAAGCCAAAAAACTTGTGGAGAGTTTCAAAGTTTTGGTGATAGGAACAGTAACTCCAAGCAAAAGTGAAACTCTAAATTTTGATAGGGCTCCACTTTGTACAGCCCTAACAGTTGCACCAAGATTGAACAAAAATCCTCAAAACTCTGACATGTATAACGTTGACAAGGTTTAATTCACAAGGGAAAAGCTCTCTGTGCATAACATTGAATATACTCCCACATGAAATGTGTCTTTAAAAAAAATGACTGTGCCACTTTTGTTTTTGGTGGTGAATAAATGCCTCAGTATCGCCAATGTCTTTGAGGGTTCAGAAAATCAGCCCGCAACTTTTCTAACCAACTTCTTTCATGTAAGCCAACAGTGAGGCTTATGTCTCCCTACCCTGATCTCAAAATAAATGCATGTAGATGACACTCATTAATTACTTGCACATATATCTTTTATAAAGCATCAAGCAATCAAATTACTTATGACTGAGCAGAGCAGAATATCCTTATTATGGATTTTTGTCAAGACATCAAACTACATGTATACACACAGTTTTATTATGCTCACTCAATTAGAATAGAAGTAATCGCGTTTCAATGCATTGACAAATCAAATTGTTTTTCTCTGGCTTAGACTTAGCAGAAAATGCCCATCATCAAATTTAAGTCATGGTATAGATGTTATGAAACTACATGCTAAGCTTCATCACTATCAGTCAATTAGAATAAAAGTTATCATATTCCAAAGTGTTGAACACTCAAGTTGCTTGTCTCTGCTTAACCTGAGTAGAAAGTTATTATGTTCCAAAGGATTGACAAAACCAGTTGGTCATCAAACTCGGTCAGGACATCTACACCAAGTTTAAACATATTAACTCAGTTATTGTGTACCAAAAAGTGTGACAGACGGAGAACCCATTTAAATAGTCCCCTGCTTTCTTCGAAAAGGGGGGGCAGACATGCAAAGAAGTTAAACGGCCAGGAAATAGACAAACATATAAAATATTTTACCTCGCAAATAGTTGTGTTACCCCCACATTGTGAGTATCAGGCCTTCACGTTTAAGGTGCGTTTGCTCCAGCTTCACTCGACTTTCCTTCGCGGGAGTCATTAAAGACTCCTGCAAATTAGCTAAATCGCTCTCCAAAATATTGAGATTAATAAACAACTTCCAGTTTTGTTTATTTTTAATACATGTATATACGTTCGAGCAATCAGTTTCCATGACGACAATTCTGACGCTTCCATATTCACCAAATATTAAACAAGACCAAAGCATCAATACAATTTGGCTCTCCTTAATTCAAGAAAATGTAGAATTACTCTTGCAATATAATTAGCAAGAGTTTTTTTTATGGGAGCTTTTTTCTCATTTTTGAAATTGGCAGGAGCTTTTTATGACTCCTGCACAATTTCATAAACGTGAAGGACTGGTCAGTACGATAACATAGAATTCTCAGTGTTACTAATAAAAATATTACAGTCGTGGGATTGTTCATTATCACATATAAAAAGGCACTTTGAAGACGAAAAGTTGTTAAATGAGACTGAGAGGATATCTGACAATTCATAAAAAGAATTGACTGTCACAAGGTAAGAGAAAGCGAGAAAAATAGAAGAAGTCTGTGCATTCCCTTGTTTGTATTCATTCTCTACTTAATAAAAACAAGGTAATGCACAGACTTTTTCTATTTCTATCATTTCTCTTACCTAGTGACAGTCAACTCTTTTTTTATTAATTGTTAGTTTTGAACAGGTATCCTCTCAGTCTAATATAAAGGAATTATCAGTTAGCTGAAAATTGGCCCTGTATCTGTTATTGCTTGTTACTTGTCACTTATATACTGAGCGCCATGGAAAACGCATCACTTTTTTTTCCCAAATATTTTATTACAAGGTGGTTTTGTATGTATAATATTATGCAATACTATGAACTATTGTTTCACACAATGCTCCCAAAGCAAAAAATATCGGCCCGTGTGCACAAAAAAAAATTGCACGAGATGCACATGAAAAACCCAATATTCACGTGCAGCATTGTGTGTGAGCCCTTTAAAAGCATGTTTTCAACTTAATGTGCAGTACATGAACTGTGAAACGTCAATCTGTCGTAATTTGTTGTTGGACGTGTGAATGAATCGAGCTAGAGATGCCGAGACTTACTGAAAATCAATGGAATGAAGCCATAGGAATGTCCAGGGCTGGAATGTCTACACGTGCTATTGCCAGACACTTCAATTGTCATCAGTCCACTATTGTAAGGTTGGTGGAACGTGTTCGAGTTACTGGATCAACACATGACCATCAACGTCCTGGTCCACAACGCGTTACAACCCAGGCTCAAGACCACTACATCCGGGTCACTCATCTGCGTGACAGATTCCGCCCAGCGACTCGAACAGGTGCAGCAATCGTCGGAAGGCAAGGACCAGTAAGTGCCAACTTCGTAAGACGTTGTCTAAGAGAAGTAGGACTCCGTGCACGACGACCTTATGTTGGAGCTATCCTCAGGGATCATCACCGTCAGCGGTGTTTGATATGGGCTCAAGGACACCAGACATGGAGAAGAGTAGACTGGCAAAGTGTGCTCTTCAGTGATGAGAGTCGCTCGTGTTAATGCTGTAGCCTACCGTGATGATATCTTGCAACCAATTGTTGTTCCGATGTTTCGAGCGCACCCACAACTTCAGCACTTCTAACAGGATAATGCACGTCCGCATACCGCCCGTTTTAGTATGGACTACCTGGCTGCTAACAACATCAATGTCTTGGACTGGCCAGCCATGTCTCCGGACATGGCACCGATAGAACATGTCTGGGATGAGATTGGACGCCGTCTGTATCGGAGACCACAGATGCACACCATTGCTGCTTTAGAAGCTGCTCTTGTCCAAGAATGGAACAATTTGCCCCAGGCCTTCTTTCAAACATTGGTAAATTCCGTGCGCGTCGCTGCACAGTGTGTCATACTTTTGGTTTTGACCCCTCTGACTTTGTATCGTTGATTACAGATTAAACATCCATAAGTGTACAAATGTGTTGTTATTGATGTGTTCCCATTTGAATATTGTTCGCAATAAGAAGCAAAATAAATAAGATATGTTTACAGGATCATTTTGTTATACGAAAAACTAAGTGATGATCTCTGTGTTAAATTTATATTTGGAATGTGTTTTACCAGTTTTATTACATATGTAGCCTAATAATGGTTGACACCAACATTGTCTTATAAGACAATTTACAGTTGTCTGACCTGTAACACAACACAAAATTTCAAATAATATTTAATACCTGTATAAGTAAAAATTGGTTTCTAAGAATGCAGGGTGAGAGATGATTCAAATGTGCAAATATTAATTTTCAAATATACAATGAAAAATACTATTTCAGGAATCTTTTTAGTCCTTATGCATATTTTTTATTCTTTAATTGTTGTATTGTTTCTTCTTTTCCAAAAATCTGATCTATTTTCTTAAAATGAAATCCTTATGCTCAAATTCAGCACAAAAAATCACAGCAGTAACAGTGGTATAAGGGAGACAACTCCTGCTAAGTGTCGAATTGTCCATATTGTCTCCCCTTAGACCACAAATCTGACATAGACAACACCTTATTTTTTCAACAATAAATTAAAACAGTAAATAATTGTTTGTTGTGGTAATAAATGATTTTATATTGTATCAATAATAGAACACTCCAAATGCTGCTGCCACACAAAATAAAGAATCCTGAAAAGAGAAAGAAGGTGTTTGTTACCAACCAAAGAGTATTTTTTTAAAACTTCCTAAATTGAAATTAAAATTAAATCCAAGAAAAATATAATTACCAAATTTATTTGTTAGGGGTTTTCAGTTACACTAGGGCTGTCTGAGTATGAAATATGGGGTATACGACCAGTTTGAGCCAGGAAGTGACATAGCCCTGGCGGTGTTGCACTGTTATACTTCTGGTTCAGTGCTGTTAACTGCTAGTCAAATGCAAGTATATTTTAAACTCACAGTAAAAGTCCCAAAGTATATCTATGGGTAATATTAATATTGAAATGTTGTGAAATCAAGTAAGGGAATTTTTAAAGTCTTGCAGCATTGATACACCAGTCATCAGTAAATAAAAATGAACAAGCCAACAGCCTAAATCCCGAAAGAAATAGATGACACATAATAATTAATTGCACGTTTATCTTTTTCAAAAGTATCAAGCAATCAAACTGATTATCAACTATACACTTAAGTTTTATCACTCTCAGATGGAATCTTAGCTTTAGCGTGAAATGTTAATCATTGAACTCTGTCAAGACATTCACCTAATGAACATCAACATCAAGTTTAAACTTTCTACCTCAATTAAAAGCAGAGTTGTTATGTTCCAAAGTTTTGACCAATCAAATTGCTTATTGCTCCTTAGCCTAAGCAGAAAATTCTCATCAAATGATATCATGGTAATGATATAATGAATCTATACTCAGAGTTTCATAGCTCTCACTAAATTATAACCAAAGTTATCGTGCCCAAAAGCATCAAACAAACAAATTGCTTATCTCTGCTTACTGTAAGTAGACAATGTTCACCATCAAACTCTATCAAGGCATTCACCTAATGAAAACCTACACCAAGTTTGAACATTCTACCTCAGTTATCTCAATTAGAAGGAGAGTTATTGTGTTCCAAAGTCTAGACCAATCAAATTGCTTATCGCTCTGCATACCCTCAGCAGAAAATGTCCATTATCGAACTTAGTCAAGGTATTGATGTAATGAAACTATGCACCATGTTTGATCACTCTCACTTAATCAGAACTAAAGTTATTGTACCCCAAAGCATCAACCAATCAAATTGCTTATCTCGGCTTACCCTAAGCAGATAATACTCATCTTTAAACTCCATCGACCCAATAAACACCTAAACCAAGTTTGAACATTCTAGCTCAATTAAAAGGAGAGTTATTGTATCCCAGAAAGTGTGACAGCCAGACAGACAGACAGACAGACCCATTTTAATAGTCCCCTGCTTTCTTTGAAAGGTGGGGAACAACAATGAAAAGATTAACGTTGCAGCTTTTGTTTACTAATAAAGTAATAGAAATAAGACAATAAAAGTATACCAGTACTTACATTCATAAATATATCTTGTGCATAGTTGTCTGTATCAGAATCCCAGAAACACCTACAAGCCATCCTATAATAAAATATTTTACATTAAGACATGCACTTTTGTATATAAATACAACTCTTTAAAAGTTGTTTTGGAGTACAAGAAAAAAAATCATTTCATAATTATTGTGAAGCTTTTCTCTTTTATAGCTTTCGTGTCAAGTTGCTTATTTTGAGCACTTGACTTATTTGACCTTGCACAAATGTTATATCATAGAGCCATTATGTTGTGCACATATCTTTCTACACAGTGATATCTGTTTCAAAAACTGGCTTTCCTTTTGTTTATTCTCCAAATTAAACATGTTGGACAGATAAATATTTTTAAAATGTTGACATCTTGATCAGATAAAACTCTACTTGTGATTTTTTAACAATTCATTATAATGTTCAGTGTCAGCATTAATTTTGTACAACACACACACTGACACAAATACATAAATAAACTCACACTGCACCACAACATGAACACTAATATAAAAACCATCATACACGATGAGTATTCATCAGACTGGGCTGCCAGTAAGATAATGATTTCAATTTATCAGTGAAAAGAAACATTCCTTCAAAGAAACTTTACAAGTTACCTGGTCCAATATATTCTTTGAATGGCATTTAGTAAAAAGTGTGTTTTTGATTACCTGGTCCAAGTCAGAATTATCAACCATAATTTAAACTTACTTGACTCCTTCTCCTCTTTGTTCACCTATTACAACTTGAACTAAAAATTTATATCTGTCATATCCCATATCTGAAAAATAATTTTTTTAATAAGTTCCCATTTGGTTGGTAGAAAGTTGTTTAAAATATTATTAGTGCCATAAACACCTTAGATTGACACTTTCTTCTAACCTTATAAACAACCAGTGATTGCAATCTGTATAAATATTTGTTGTCTTTTATATATCCTGATGAGCTCGAAATTAAAAACACCACTGACAGTGACAATTACGCTTCCTACATGGATCTGTGTCTCGATTTTGACAATTGCCATAAACTGAGTGTTAAATTGTACGATAAACGTGATGACTTTGACTTTCCGATTGTTAACTTTCCATTTATTAGTAGTAACATTCCAATATCACCAGCTTATGGAGTGTTTGTATCTCAGCTAATTCGTTACGCGAGAGCTTGTTCCTTTTATTCTGATTTTTTAAGTAGATTGAGGCATTTGTCATCTAAGCTTCAACTACAAAGATACTTGCGCACTAAACTTATTAAAACCTTTAAAAAGTTTTATGGCCGTCATATTGATTTGATTGGTAAATATAACGTGTCTCTCTCGGCTATTATTCTAGATTATATTTAATTGACATGTATACTATTACTATCTCCCTGATAATGTCTACTACATCGTTAACACATTTCATCGCGTGCATTTTGCATACCGATAGTTCATTGGCCAATCACGCTATTTTACCGACATTTCGCCTAATAGTTTGGATGCAGCTATGGCGGGTGTGGCGCCAGGCAGGGTAAGCTTACTCTTCCAGACACCTGTTACCACTGTTTGTCGTGTATTTTGTACACTAGGAGCAATCCATTTGCTGATTACACTATTTAGCTCGAATACACTATTTTGCCAATAACGTTTTTTAGGACTTCGAATTCTGTCTTATAGTTTGGATTGTTCGTACTTGGTTTTATTTTATTGTGCTCATTGACAATCAAGGATTAAAATTCAGAAAGGTTTAACTTTTTTAAAAAATTCAAACCTTTTAATTTTTGTTTGATATCATCTGATATGACTTTTGTCCAGTCTGTGGTCTCTTCCGCAATATATGTTTTTCCAGACAAATGTTCCACTAAAACCGAATGAATGGTGTCTCGAACAGCGGCAGGTCGAAACCTTAAATAGAAAATAAATTATTTGTGGAAATAAGCTTTGGTTTATCTTTTTAAAAAAAACATGATTGTTAACCACCAACATTTTTGCTGCCACTTCCAGACAGTCCTACAATAAAAAACAAACAATAGGCTCTCCGTGGGCTACAAATGATCTTTAAGTCACATCCTGAAATAATATTCTCATCACAGTGATCATGTCATGTCCTTTCTTATAAGCTTATTTGTTATTACATATTTTGTGAATATCTTGGAATCAGGATAATTTCTTACTTTAAAACAACCATGTTTGTACAGTTTTAACATTCGAAAGCTTGATTCTCCCAAATCTTTATACATGAAAATATTTAAAAGCAAAAAAAAATACAAGCCAACAGTGAGGCTGATGTCCCCCGCCGAAATCCCGAAATAAAATAGACGACACATATTAATTAATTGCACGTTTATCTTTTTCATAAGTATCGAGCAATCAAACTGATTATCAACTATACACTAAGTTTCATCACTCTCTATCAAATAGAATCAAAGTGAAAGAAATTGCTTAGCTCTGCTTAGCTCTGCTTAGCTTTAGCGAGAAATGTTAATCATTGAACTCAGTCGAGACATTCACCTAATGAACATCAACATCAAGATTTTACTCAATTGTTATGTTCCAAAGTCTTGACAAATCAAATTGCTTAACGCTCCTTAGCCTAAGCAGAAAATTCTCATCAAACTTAGTCAAGGTAACGATGTGATGAATCTATACTCGGAGTTTCATAGCTCTCACTTAATTATAACCAAAGTTATCGTGTCCAACAGCATCAACCAATCAAATTGCTTATCTCTGCTTACCGTAAGCAGACAATGTTTATCATCGAACTTCATCAAGGCATTCACCTAATACCAAGTTTGAACATTCTACCTCAATTAGAAGAAGAGTTATTGTGTTTCAAAGTCTCATACAATTAAATTGCTTATTGCTCTGCTTACCCTCAGCAGAAAATATTCATTATTGAACTTAGTCAAGGTATTGATGTGATGAAACTATACACAAAGTTTCATCATTCTCACTTAATTAGAACTAAAGTTATCGTGTCCCAAAGCATCAACCAACCAAATTGCTTATCTCTGCTTACCCTTAGCCGAAAATTCTCATCTTTGTACTCCATCAAGGCATTCACCTAATAAACAACAACACTAAGTGTGAACATTGTTGCTTAGTGTTGTGTTCCAAAATCTCGACCAATTAAATTGCTTATCGCTCTGCTTACCCTGAGCAGAAAATTTTTATTCTCGAACTTAGTAAAGGTATTAATCTAAATTAATCTAATGAAACTATACACCAAGTTTCATCACTCTCACTTAATTAGAACTGAAGTTATTGTGTCCCAGAGCATCAACCAATTAAACTGCTTATCTCTGCTTACCCTAAGCAGAAAATGTTCATCTTCGAACTCCATCAAGGCATTGACCACACCTACACCAAGGAGAGATATTGTGTCCCAAAAAGTGTGACAGACAGACAGAAGGACGAACCCATTTTATTGTTTCCATGTATTGATGGATATTTAAGAAGAAAATTACATGTTAATACCCAAGATACAATTTAACTTCTTGCTCATGATTATCATGAGCGTAGGCGCAGAAGTTCCACATTCAGAATCTCCACAGACTCTGACCTAGTACACCCCTGATTACTGGTAGGATAACAGAAATACAGAATAGTTGGCTAGGCATACGATTATGATACTTCGAACTTTAAATTTCTACTTACAATTTGAACATACTGTTGGTTAATTCCCTGGTGCCGTCTTCGAACTTTTTTTATTTAACTATAATACCATTGCTGATTAGAATTACCAATTGCTATCGCAAGTAAAACTATTATAAACTAAATTCAATTTCCGCATAATATCTAGTTAGTATTAGCTGAAATTAGTTTATAATAGTAATACATATCTACTTTGTTGTGAAGCATGAATCTTGAATTAACAAAACTATTCTTTAGTTCTAATTTACAAATTTCTAACAAACAACAAGGTTGCCTTCAATTAATTAAAAACGACTTTCTTCATAAATTTTTAATCTCTCAGATTCAGTAGTCCAAGAACACACAACAGAAGCCTAAAAGAATACAGTACCATCCATAACTAGAAATGAGCTTAAGGAGTGAATTCTTGTATTCACTATTCAAGTAAATAGCACAGTTCAGCAATCTTTCTGTAACAAAACAACTTCACCTGAGATTCAGTAGACCATAATTCACTATGCTTCCTGTCAGAAACGAATGATTGTATCTATATAAAATTATTGATTGTTTTGAAGTTCATTGTTAAGAGTCCGCAATAGATGGCAGTATCAGAACAACATTCTATCATTAACATTATATTGTATAGATTTTTCCAATACTAGTGACTACCACATTTAGGTCATTAAATAAAATTACAAATAGTTCTTATCTTTATAAATTCACAATATCTTCTCTTTAAATTGTTAATTTGAAATTGATGAAAACAAAACAAAACAGGTAAAAGCTCTAAAGCTTAATTTTGAAAACGTAAAAAATAACCGGTATATATAAGCAGACTGAACAAATAGCTATCAGAACATATCTACCAAATAGCCAATAAGTACCATAACAATACAAATTCCAAACACTTTGTAACTGTCTTCAAAATATATACAGCTTGGAACTCAAATAAATATATCAATAATCTGTCGGACAGATTTCAAACACATTTTAAAAAGAAATATTGAAATATGCGTCACATTTACTCACGCTATAGCAAAGGGAAAAAGTTAATTTAACCAGAGAATCAGTGGAGTGTAACTAAATGTCAAATAATACCATAGCTTCACATCATTTACAACTTTATGCCCCAATTATAACATAAAACTAACAGTGACACTGACTTACTCCACTATAATATCATTTTAACATTCAGTTTGTGAGTCCTGTTATAAAAACAAAAATTATAAATATCTTAGTCTTGGTACAGTATTTAAAAAAAACTTTGATATTATAGCTCCAAAAGAGAACTCAGCTCTGGTTGTATTATATTTACTATCCCAAAATTTCCATAAAAATATCAACAGCTCTCCTCTTTCATAATGCAATTTTTATCAAAATATCCATTATATGGCTAAATATTACTGTGTTATACATGTCAAATTTATGGTAAAGTCTATGATCGGCATTCCAATTGATAACTTCAAAGATACATTCCACAAAAGTATTTATCGGGTGGTTAATGGTAATTTTAGTATATGGAAAGTAGAGACTAGAAAAATACTGGATTCTCTGAAAAACATCCATGGAGTGTGTACTGAAATAGTCTGACCTCTTTTCATTAGCGAGTGCTTAATCTATATGTTAATAAACATGATTGTGAGTGGACATGGAAAAAGTGAGAGACTTAAACGTATAACAGATTCTGAGGGCAGGAGATAATCCCAGAATTTATTTAGGTTTTAATATTCTTGATAAATGGACAGTGATTAAAGGCTTTTATATGCAATCAATTCTCCTTCGGCAAATGGCAGTGACACAAACACAGCTTCTTTAAAATAGATTTGTTATAGCTTGGGGTATTTCCTTAAGAATACAATGTTTTGAGAGGGATTTGGAGCAAATTTTTGATAAATTAATTGGCTTGAATATGTTTGTAGTCCAAATATATCATCAAATCACCCAGTTTGTACATGGGTAGGCATATTTAACATTTAATTAAGAAAATCAAATTAAAGAATTAACGGTAGATAGTTTCCAGGCGTGGATTCAATTTAATTAAAAAGCGACTCTTCAAAAGATTGCAGCAAAAATCAATGGTGGCACTAGCTTGTGTTGACCATATCCTATATATTGTCTGAAGTGTATACCAAATGTTGACAATTGAAAATTTTTAAAATCCTTGTAAATACTGAACAGAATTGCAACTTTTTTTGAACTGATAATCCCTTTAGAGATTCAACTTTCATAATATACTGTAGTTTGCAAGGCATTAACAGAGAGTGGAATTGTGTTTTTAAAACATCTACTATGAAACACAAATATCCACTCAACACCAAAGTCCACTCAACACAAACTAGGTCTTTTCAGGACTAACATAGTATATATCTGTATATCTGTTATTTGGTAGTGCAACAGAGAATTGAACATTGGGTGGAAACCGGAGGACCCAGAGAAGACTCAAAAGGTTGTCAGTTGTCACAAAACCACAATGCTCGAGTCAATGACAGATCTTACCATCTAGATCTCTCGACCATCACCCCCTTAGCAAAATCTAAGCTTACTTACAGTTACTACTGTTAACTTTTGCGATATTCACTGATGAATAAAAAAATAATTGTTGATCTTACTTGATAAGACTTTAACCTACATTGAAATCAAATGATCAAATGTGTTCGTAATATGTGTTTACAGTACTAAGATATGACACGATAAATACATTGATCACTTAATTACCTAATCAGTCCAGCATATTATCAACGATAATTGGGATGAGTAATACTTATATACCCAGTACAGTCAAACAATTTTGGAAAATTAAATATTATTCACCATATCTTGATGTCCGATTGGGCATATTCAGGGTCGGACATTTGGAAAATAGCGTAGGACATATCCAGAATATACGGGCGAAATAGCATCCCTGGTTCTAACGGCCAGTGCACTAACCATAGCTGACAAAGAGATTTTACGTGCAATTTTACAAGTTATCATAATTTACCGTTATTTTCAATCAATGCTCAAGTAACAAAAAATATTTCAGTTACCAGTACTTCCACTGTTTGTCAATTCAAATGGCATGCATTACATAAGTCACACATAAGCTCTCTTTGATGTTTTCTACACACCACCACAGACCGGCACACGCCAACCGTAATTGTACCATAACTATAAATGATGCCAAATACTTCAAGAAGCGTCAGACTTTCTGTGTCATGTAGTTCTGCAATTTGAAAATTTGCTATTGGAATAATCCTAACATAAGTTATGACCATCTAAAGTTCACATTACTTTCTATTCATTTCACTTTCTGGCTCCCATCTTTGTCGTTTATAACACATCAGTCTATCCATGAACATCAAGCTCAGGATCAATCCTAACCTCAGTTTTTTGGTTTCAAATCTTCAAATTACTATCTAATTTTGTTAAATATAAATAAGAAAAATGATTATTGACCTTCTAGCACATAGCTGCATTAATGAACATAATTTGAGACATTGCTGAGGTTTTGTGGTTCTTTTGAGATGTTTAAACATGGATTATGTAAGAGCTAAATCTGCCTATTGCAGGTCTTTCTTTAGGCCTGAAATGTTATCTAAATTATTAATTAACTCTCGATGTCAATGCTAGCTTGCGATATTTACTGGATTAGGATCCCATTTGCTGCTCAACTTTCATTGATGATTTAATCATGAAATGGATAATCGAGACTATGTGTTTTATCGTACCGACCGACTTTAGTAACGATGATCGAGGCTAGGCCGAAAATTCAATCGCTGAAGTCTCTGGTCAGTGTGGAGCAATTTGACTGAAATTTTCAGCAAATTCCCTTTACATTATGTAATTTTTAACTATTATAGTGAGAACTGCCAGCTTCTTATCTAATCTCCCATAATGTGTCTTTAATTGAGAATTATTTTATTGTAAAATTTAATTTTAAAAAAAAACAGACACACTGTTCCAGTTTCAACTTGTACTATAAATCTGAAGCCCAAAGGTGATTTTTTGGCATTTCATAAAAATGTTTTAGACATACATGTATATCCAAAACAAAATTTATCATTGTTAAAATTTTCAATTTAATTAAAAATTATAAGCTTATTCAGTTTATGTAAAATTCAAAACACAAAATTGGTAGAGTGCTCATGGCTTTGTCTAACAAAAGCTGTGTTGTCCACAGGATACAATTCTATAGAATACAATTATGGTACTGTTTATTACTGAAAAGACAATTTCGACACGCTTCTCAATTTGAAAAAATATTGGTATCTGGGATATTCAAATAAATTGGGGTTTTTTAGACTTAAGTTATCTTTTCTGAAATTTCACAGTCACCATCCTTCCGTTAAACAAGCAAATCTATTTAATGATGTTTATTTCATTAAATAAACTCCCAATTGCGCAGACCTGAGGTCGCAGGTTCGTGGCTAAATTGCAAAATTCTACTTGAAAATCGTATTGAATAAATGAATAATAATAAATTTGTGTCAGATGTCGTGAAAAATGATTGCTTTTGGCAAAAAAAGAAGAATCATGGTGAAAAATAGAAGGTATTTTCGTGTTGCAGCTCAATAGGGGTGAACAGGAACGGTTAGAGGACAGCGTCCAATCGGAGACGTTTCCTAAAGGAACTTTCTCGAGACAAGGCAGAAGGCTTGAAAGGTCTAGAGACACAAAGGCTTGAGAGATGAGGTGCCTTTTCTAGATCAATACACAATTGTTACTCGTTTCATTTTAAAATCGAGGCAACCCATCAGGCCTAGCTTATTTTTCAAATTAAAATAAAATCAGGATTAATAATTAATTTTCTACACTTACTTAAGTCAACTCACGATTCGGAATAGTGAATACCGTTTGATGGCGTTTGTAAAATCATAACCACCAGGCTGTATTTCTAGGTAACGTGATTGAGGCCAATTTTAAATTTTGCATTATTCATTCAATTACAATAGTGATATAGGCCTAATCAAATTCATAATCATAACCATAAATAATCATTAATTGGTTTCATTCCAGTTCACATTTTATTTGTCTGATAGATCTAGATCTACTTCTGTTTCAAGACGTAAGTGTAACTGTAAGACAAATTTTTCCATTATCAAGGTACTTACTTATGTTGAAAATTTGGTCTGATTACATAGGTATTGCTTGTGGCTTCCTCTTCAGTCATATTTGGGCCGAATTTGAACGAAAATGATTTTCTAACCAGCCAAAATAAACTAATAAACTCTAACAGCGGCCTTGACAACAAATATGTCGGAACTTCCTGTAGGGATAGAGTTACCTCCCCTTAACGTTTACCTGGCAGGTGAGAAGATGATGCTGTTGTCACGTAAATTCCAGAAACCTTACTCAAAGTGACTCAAATGAATAAAACGAAATACAGGAACAGCTTACATAATTAGCTGTTTATAAACGGTGAGTAAATCATATAATGATACAACTTAGTGAATAGAAATATAGAGGTTGGCAAGGTACCATAATAACATTAATGTCAATAAACTGAACAAGTATGTCATGTGTGTGTTTATTAACCGACAGGACTGC